TATATAATGCATGTCATTTTAGTACACCACATCAAACAGTCATAAAAATTAATCTCGACTTAAAAAAAACAGCATAATTAATTCCAGCATTACTAATCCTCGCATTGCTAATACATCATATTCAGTACTATTACCAAACGACCCCTTAATATTTTCGACGATCAATTAATATTATTTCAGTGCTTTATCGAAAAATTCAGCAGCTTTATTGACCAAACAAGCAAACTAAAGTCCACTTTATCGTCCCAAGAATTTTTATTTATGGATATCTGATCTTAATCTCGTTTGTCAAAAGAAACTTATCGTGATCGTTACACTAAATCAATAAATTTGAGTCATATATCATGCTTTGCGTTAAAGTTTGATAAATGAATTATGATATTAAAATGTATAATATCTAAGGATATCTTAAGTACCGTTTAATGTTGATTTAGTTACTTAAAAAATATTAAATCTTGACAGCTTGTTTTAGCTACGCTTTGAAATATAATTGAAAGATAGTCACTTTTTATGATTAATGAAGTTGGATAAAAATATTCTTAGCTAAAAGATGAAAAAATTCTAGCACAATATAATGTTCATACACTTGTAAACACGCGAAAATCCAATACACTATGTTAGAATTTTACTTGTAGGAAATTCTCGAACTCAACCATTGTGTGTTGAAATTCACTTGTAAAAATTTCAAACTTTAGTATATTTTCGTATTTTTGCTAGGGGTAATGTTGCTCCAATTTTATTATCTATCTATTAATATAGAAAAGGAAAGATGGTTGACCAAGGGCATATATGTCATTTCCTAAAAATTTCATTTTTGCATTTCTTAAATGCAAAATACACGTGGATCCCACATTTCTCTAGCCACAACTCTCCTTTAAATGCACTATGTATGTGTTGATTATACTGTTTGTACTCATTTCCAATCTTTTTCTTATTTTGGAAATTTATTAATTTTGTTTTATTCAAATAGAAGTTTCCATAGAGAAATTAAAATTAATTTTTAAATAATACAGAAACAAAAAGAAGTATCGATATCTACAAAATTTTCATATTTACTAATACTATCTTAAAGCAATTTAAAAATAAAAATTAAATGATTTTCATCCATCCATATTATTTGAAGGCAATTTCAAACTAAATAGTTTCATATTCGTATACCGGGCCTTTCCTCATCTAGTCGTATTAACATGGGGCTAAATGTTAATATATATCGGTGAATATATATCGATTATGGTCTAAAATGGCTATTTGTTATTTTACCCAATAGAATTGAGTATTATCATTTCGGCCGAAAAGTTTTAGAATGGGGTGTCCACACTCCACATCAGAAATAGCTACTCTGAAAGGCCTGAGTCGACTTTTGAGCCCATGAAAAGATTTATACCTAAAAACGATGAGAAAATGACATTGTATAGCCGCTATAAAAATAATAGCTGAAAAATATATAAAATTTATATATTTTTTGTATATTTATACATTTGTATGTTATATATAAAATTTATACACTTTATCAGCTACTAGGTGTAAATAAATTCTGATGCGGGCTAAAAATAATAATAACCCCAAAAACAAAGATGCTAGCACTAGCCTTAATTAATTAAAGGTGTGTTATCTTTTAGAATTAAAGAACTTAATTCTAGAAGAATTAACCCAAATGATCGCACATTCAACCGCTTAAATTAAAAATATCGACACACTATATACAGTATATAAGATCGCTAAAATGATAAATAGTGAATTTGACCAATTATTGCATAAAAATTCCTTAATTCTATCCATTGGTCCAAAACGACTAACAGAAGTTCATTGGGGCAAGTGCATAAATTGCCATTCTCAGGGATGCGATTAGAGATAAGCCGGTACTTATTTTGTCCTAAAATTTCAAACTAAAAATCTTAGGGAATCTTACAGAAATGGCCCAAATAAGTCCTAACTTAACAACATCTAGCCATTGATCGTAGACTTACCAAAACTAGTCAAGCATATAGAAAAATTAAAAATCCAAATAAATAAAGTTCTTTCTCTCCAAGAATCACACGCGAAGATCTCGTTCCATATTTTTAAGTGTGATTAGCAACATTAGATGTAAGACGGAAAGAAAATTTCATGGATGAGGTAGCAAACAAGGTGATAAAATACAAAAAATATATATACAAGATTCAAAAAATCTAAGCAAAAATGACTATTTTCAATGGTTATGGTTGAAATTCATTGAAAATATATAACGAGACAATATACAAAAATTGAAGAAGATTGGCGGTGATTTGGACTGATTTGGTATCAAAATTCGTAGTTAAAATCGGGTTCAAAAAAATTCTTCTGCGACACATGTACCAAAAATATATCACGCATATATCACACACACAGGTATACATGTGATACACATTTGATACAAATATGATACATATGTGCTACACAAATAATACACAGTGTGATATACGTATAATTGTTTTCATGTTCATCTTCTACTTCAAAATTTCAATTCAAACCACCCCAAAACTCCATCAAATTATCCCAAAATTGAGATTCAAGCTCCCTAAGATGTACCTAATCTATTCTGATAACACTCATTCAAAAAAAAAAATTATAGCTAATTGACTAATATTAATAATATCTTATGAATTGATTGATTTTTATAATAAGCTACGTATAAAAAGAGATATTGATGTTTCCTAAAATCTTATGATTCAATGATAAGAAAGGCTTCGGATTGGGCGATCCCAGCCCAACAAATGCTTAATCCATTACCCATAACCTTAAAAATTTTAATAGCTAGAGAAAATATTAGTTAGAGAAGCTGAGAAGGTGGACTTGATAGCGGTGCTTGCGGCGGAGAAGCTAGATTCCATGGATATGCCAAACAGAAGCAAAGGAACACACAAAATTTTGCACAATCGCTTTAAGGTTTTAAATTCATATTTACTTTATGTGAGCACCTGATTTTTGTCTTATGTGAAACACTCCTACAAATTAAAGAAATAGATTTTTTTAAAATTGTTTGCAATTTTTTAAGATTTTTATTAATTGTTTGTATTTCTGTGCATGTTTACTCTTATTACAATCATGAAAAAATACCATACATTGCATTTAGATTTTGTGTTCACATTTTAGGATTAGTTAATTAATTAATTGCTTTATTAAAAATAAAAATCACAAAAAATGGCTCATTTTTACATTCTTAGTTTCTAATTTCGGATTATTAATTTTTCTCTCTTAATTTAGGATCAACTAATTTTTATAAATTTTATAGTTAGATAATTAGCTTAATTTTACAATTTAAATTAATTTAGGAATTTAATTTAGGTTTTTAGTTAATCAAAAGAAAGAAAAGAAAACAAAAAGAAAAAAAAGGGAAATTGAAAAGGGTTGTTTTAAATTCAATTGGGCCAAAATTGATGCTAAGCCCAAATCCCACCCCAATTCGGCCTCAGACCCAAACCTAATATACTTTACCCGGTCCGGCCCGCCCCACTAAAGCCAAACGACCTCGTTTCTGATCCATTGAATCCCAGCCGTTGATCTCATGTGATCCAACGGCTGGGAACTAGCCTTGACTTAGCATATAACTGTCTGAAACCCTTCATCCTCCCCCCATTCGAACCCCTTCTTTACAGTCTCTCACCCAAAACCTAGCCAAATCCTAGCCGCCCTAAAACTCTCTGCCATCTTCGTCGCCAACCGCCCACCGGAAATCGCCTCACGGCTGTTCCGGTGCTTCAAACTTCCCCAAATCTTTACCAGGCAACCACCTTTCACTCCCCTTGCCAAATCCGAAACCACTTCTCCAAAATCCCCATCCAAATCCTCCAATTTTAGATCTAAGAATCAAACCCCAAACCCTAGTTGCTCCAAACTTCCTTAGATTGATACCAAGCAACCCCTGTCCCCCCCTCTTCCTAAATCCATCATCAATTTCCCCAAAAATACCCTCAAATTTCCCGAATTTTATATCTGAGAATTGGAAGAAAATCCTAATTCTTCTAATTCTGATTCTTTGCCTCCCAGAGCTCGATTTGACTCAAGACTCGTGTTAAGCAATCGTTCTCGTTGAGAACCCTTGACTAATACGAGTTTTGGCTTGTATCGAGAGTCACAGTTGCTTGACCAAACCACTGTACCCCGCCGAGTTCTTTGCCCTCCTTTGTTCGTTGGTTCAATTCAGTCACCAAGCTCTTTCCGGTTAGCCAGTACTTCACCTCTTCCTCTTTGGTTTTGTTCTTTGATTCTGTTTTTTTTTTTATTTTCTTGTAATTCTAATTGTTTACTGGTCCGAATTTGTTTAAGTATTTATTTGTTCCAATTAGTTGTTATTGTCCACTTGTTTGAATTAATTGGGCGTTATTTGTTTTACCATATACTTGCTTATGTTAGTTTCTTAGTTGTTTAGGTTAGATTTATCATGAGTTCTGTTTTTATTCTAGTTCTTCTTGATTTTCTATTTCTTTTTCCTTTATTTTAATTGCATGATTTAGAGTTTAGGGTTTTATGATTCAATTTGTTAAATGCTCAGTATCCATTCATCTTTCATTGTTCGTCTCTTAGAGTTAAGTTTGTCACTAGCCGTTAAAACTGGATTTTTGAAGTTTATCATGAAATTAAATTCTTTATTATTTGTTTTAAGAGTCCAGATGTTCACCCTTTCAGTGTTGTTTACTGTTTGATTGGTTATACTCATATTTGCCTGCTTTATTTTATTTGTTAGGATTTGTAATTGTTAAACACTCCTAGGGTCTTAATTGAACAAATGAAAACTTAGGGGTTAATTTGGAAAATAGAAATAGGACTTTCAGATAAGTTTAGTGTTAGAAGCTTCTAGAATTTGGGGCAGCTGACTCAATTTTGGCCAGCACAAATGCTAAAACCAATCAAAAGCTGCCAGCTGTCCTAATTCTGTTAAAAGATGCTTGTGTAAGGGAATAATTCTTTTTGTGTTTTTGAGCACATAGCACTTGAGTTGCCTATAAGTAGGACCCCTCCCTCACTCCTTAGGCAGAGATTCAGAACCCTGGAAAATACAAAAAAGTTTCTGCATTACTTTCATTGAAAATTGGTTGGAATTGTTCCCTGATTTCTCTTTTAGTAAGAACTTAAAACTTTCTTGGGATTTCTGGATTTCTGGGTGTAAAGATAGTCTAAAGAGGCTGAATATTGATGTTGACTTGCTGCTTTGCTCATACTTCTGTTCTTGCTGAAATCCTCACTCCCTTTTGCTTTGTTTTGATATCCAGGTACTTCTTGGACCATGAATGATCACTGAAGTGCAAGCATGTATTCCATTTGAAATATGTAATTGAAATGTGAAGATCTAATGACAAATGTTGCCCTTTTAATTTTATTCACATGTTTCTTTTAAGTTCATCTAGCCTCTTTATTAGTTTTAGCTTTCTTTTATGTGTTTCTTCTCATTTCTCTCACTGTTTGTTTCCCACCTTTAAGTCTGGTTTAGGATCTGGTCTTAAGCATCTATGTTCCTTTTAATAGCTGTGATTTGAACAAAAGGTTGCAACTGTTGTTTATGAACAAAGGGACACAAAAATGATTGTGAAGTAAGGCCTTTGGCATTTTGAGGACTCTTACTGTTGAATTAGCATACTAAAAGGCCACTAGTGTGTGTTTGGAAGTGGATTGTTTTTATACGTATCTAAGGGATGCTTGATTCACGTATCATGTACGTTTGAAAGGGTGTTATCTGACTGTTGTACACTTTTAATTTAATTGCTTAGAATCTCAGTATTGTTAGGATAGTTGTACATGTAAATTCAGTATAATTAATGAGTAGTTTTAAATACCAGATGTATGCTGCTAACATTAATAGTAAAATAATGAATTAAAAGTGCATAATATGGTTGTTTAGGTGTTGTGATTTTTTGGAACATGCATATCATGTTGTTATATGTCAATTATAGTCAGTAGGGCCTCATTAGGACCTTAATGTTTGAATTATCATCGCCAAAGCATTTGGGGTTTGGAGTTGGCCCAAATGGGACCACCTAGGCTGTGGCCAGTTTCGTTTGGCTTCAGCTATTTCCGTCCTTCATTTGGGCTCAATCTCGAGCCCAACTTTCATCAGCTCTTATTTCCCCAAAACAGCTTATCTTGAGTAATGCATTGGGCCTGTTGTTAGCCCAAGTTTATGTAATTCAGGATCTAACCCCTCCCCCCCCTCCACACACATACACCAATGTATTTATAATCAGTAGTCTATATCAAAATTTAGAACTAGTTTAGATACGAGCACTCTCAGTTCGTTTATTTTGCACTTTTTCTTTAAATAAGCCGAGGTGTGTCATCCAGTCACATAGCCTATGGCCCTCACTTCAGTACTATAACTTAGATATATAAAAAATGAATGCTTGTAGTTTGCTTTATGCACGTTTAATATATCGTCGTGATTGTGGACACGTTCGCGTGACATAATTATGATTCTAAAAACAAAATTGAAGTATGTGTTCGTGCAACTTCGGTCAAACTTTCTTAATATTAACAAAGCGTTATTAATTGTGGACACGTTTGCATGACATGATTTTTGACGCGCCAAACAAATGGGTACACATACGCGTGACCTGTTTTCAAGATAATTTCTTAATTAAAATAGGCAAATATACATAGGTTCTAAAATGAGTAATTAGATAATTTTAATAAGCCAAGTATGATCAAAGCGGCCGTGATAGAACCACGGAACTTGAGAATGCCTAACACCTTCTCCCGAATTAACAGAATTTCTTACCCGGATTTCTGTGTTCGCAAACCGTAAATAGAGTCAAATTTCCTCGATTCGGGATTTTAAACCGGTGACTTGGGACACCATAAATAAGGGGTGTGCATTCGAATCGGTTTATTGATAAATTGAATCGATTATTTGTTATCGGTTTATCGATTTATCGATTTAGATTTCGAAATTTTCCTTATCGAGTTATCGATTTCGATTTTGTCCTCTTCAGTTATCGGTTTATCGATATACTATAATTTTTTTTACCTTTATTCTATAATACTCTTTCCTTTACCCTAAGTCTCTAACCCTATTATTTCATCTACCATATTTAAGAATTGATCATATTTAAAGCTCAAGGGAATGAAGTTCAAATTAATGAAAAATAGAACTAGGCGTGATGATGTATTTTTTTTATATACCGTTGGAGTGTTGGTGGCATATATTTGATCCCTTACTTTAGTTTCATTGCATGTGCTTGTTGACACAATTTTTATGTTATAAACGGTGTCCGTCTTATTTTAGCTTCTTTTTGTCCATATTAGTTAGGTGTGTTTATAGCGATATACTTTCCATCGAATCCCGCAAATTTTCTTATTGGTGTAATCGATAACCGAATCAATAAGCCCAAAAAATCGATAAATCGAAATCGAAAAAATCGAAACCTTATTGAAACGATAACGATAAGCATATGTACAAATCGATAAGTAATTATTGATAAGGGTCAAAATCGAATCGATAAATCGAATGCACACCCCTACCATAAATTATCTCAAGTAGTGACTCTGAATTTAATATAAATAATCTCGTTTCGATTATTGTCACTTTAATTGAAAAAACTCCCTTTATACCCTTTGCAGGGTAGTAAAAAGGAGGTGTGACACTTTAAATTAATTTTTTTAACCGATGCCGATGTGTTGTATATGTACTTGTTATTTTATTGAAAAATATTAGTTGCACACTTGAATATATTAATTATTTTTATTTAATTTAGTTGATAGTTAATTGTCCGATCAATTCATGTGTATCCTAAAAGGTGCCTTAAATATTGCAGACCGATATTTAAATATCCAAGTGCAGATAAATTTACCTCATTGATATAATTTAATTATCATAGTGTAGTTTAAATATTATTTTTGTTATACTTTATGTGTCATATTAAAACTTACTATTATTCTAACTTTGCATAATAAATGGGACATGTTCATAACATTACAATTCTTACATGATATTTTACAAAATAAAGTAGCGAAATTGACCGAAATGTATTGACATCAAAGGAATATCAAAATGATTGGGATAATTTTGAAAAGTTAAATTTTAATTATACACAGTAAAATAATATTGTAAGATATAAACTTCATTTTGCTAAAAATAAACACCAAATATAAACAAAAGATAAATATACTCCTAACACTACTATTTACCCTAAAGTTTGGATAACAATTAAACTTATAATGTGGTTTTAAGAATATGTGATTTCACCAAATACCAATTGATAAACGTAAAAATAAGTGATGCAAAATAACAATAATATAAAGCAAACCAGCGTTTGTACTTAGCCCTCGAGCTTGGACACCCTCGAGCTAGTTATGCAAGAATAGTTAAAGGCACAATAAGCTGATGAACATGAAAGTAAGCTGAGAAATATTATATTGCTTTGATATTCGTGAATGTAAGGTGTTTACAAGATGATTAGGGCCCTCTTTATATAACAAAGGAGTCCTAGTTATGGTACAATTCTAATTACGGAAGTAAATCCCATGATTAACTAGATAATCGCCCTGATTTGATCTGTTCCGCGATTTACACCATGATCTCCGGCCAATCACGGATATCTCGCTTTTCTATTACTGCGCTTTGCTCGAAGTTTGTCATATTTGATCTCGATCGCTGCTGGCCTCGATCTCGACATGCATCTCGATCTTCGAATTGGCTACATGTCTTCGTGCTCTGGTCTGATTCATTCCAAGGCTGACCCTCGATCCAATTAAGGTGCTCTCGATCAAATAGCATAATCGGGTTGGCCCCGCTTTAACCGTATATAGATAGTCCCCTCGTTTCTTGGAGTGTAATGAGAAGAAACTAACTGAGCTTTCGATTTTATACCTCGACCAATTATGACATCACCCTCATGACATAAGCGACAGAAGTGACCGAAGCGTTGCGTCGGTACGATTCCCAAAATCATTAATGAGTGTCAGTTGGCGGTCGGCCACTAGTGCCTTTGAACCATTGTCGTGAATCCTTAAATAGGTCTTCTTCTCACTTTCTCAAACTTTACTTTAGAATTTTCTAATACTAATCTTCAAAATCTCTTTGTGTTCTTCATGTTTGTCTGCAAATCTTCAAAGCTCTTCACATCTTCTAAACCTTTTCGTTCTGCTCTATTGCCAATTCTTCTCCAAAACACAAAACCTTGTCCTCTTCTTTTTTCTTTACACAAAAATGGCGAAGACATCAAAAACTGTTCCTCAAAAAGAAAATGCCTATTCGTCGTGGCCGGCCAGTGATAAAATGCCGGTGGACCCGCGCCCTGAGGAGTGTGTTCCCGAGGGAGGGTGTGACCTCACTTCTGACTTCAAAGTCGAGAAAACCTCCTCTATTGCCAAAGTCGAGATACATATGCTCGATAACCGAGAGTGACCTCGAGTAGGTAAAAAAGGACTGTAATTGGGACAAGAAAGAGGTGGTGTTCCCGACCCTTGAGGAAGATATCAGTACCTACATGAATGAGTTCCTAAGTGTTTACACTTACCCATTCACGCTGGGCCATGTCGACCCCGTTATCCTCGACTTCTGCCGCCAGTACCAGATAAACCTAGGCCAGATTCACCCTTCCTTCTGGTGAATCATCCTTCTATTCCGGTCTTTTACGAACAAAAAGGAAGGGACGCCTTTCACCCTTGATCATCTCATAACACTGTACAAGCCTCGTCTTTTTCGAGGCAGACTGATAAAGCTCCAACGTCGAGCTACCAAGGTATTGTTCTCGAGCATAGACAAGGACATGGACAGAGGGTGGATGGGTCGATTTATCTAAGTGAAGACTTCCAACCTAATTCCTCCCAAGAAGATGCCATTTCCTGAGAAGTGGAACATGAAGCGTAAGTTCGATCCTTCTTCTAGCTTTTTATTTACTATTTTGTTTCCTTTAATTCCTCTTACTAGCATCCCTTTCTGTGATGTAGTGGTTGCTTGGATGCCCAGCGCGATTCCAAACCTCGAGATCTGGGTTCAGACCCTAGCCTCGACCTCTTCATATGCTGAGCGCTCATGGCGTGACTTAGCAAGGGGTCGATGGGAGGCCAAAAATCACGGCAATCCTTCTTCTTTATGTACATAATGGCCTTAAAACGTTTTCCTCTTAAACTTACCTAGCTCCCTTCCGTGCAAGCCTCGGTAAAGATGCTGTTATGAGGCCCCCATCTGGGGAGGAGGAGGTTTCACCCCCGGTCCCAAAGCCGTCGAAGGAGAAGAAGAGGAAATGTTTCTCGCCCTATGATACTCCGAAGCCTAAGAAGAGCAAGGCTCATAAGTCGAAGAAAGACACTACCGCCCTGCCTGCTAATGTAGCTCAGCAATTAAGGGATGAAGAAGAGGAAAAAGAAGACGCCGACTTCGAGCTAGTAGCTCCAAAGAGGGGGAGCGTCGAAGCTTCAAAGGCAGTTGAGTTGGTGATGGTCGATGAGGCTCAGCTTCGACCAAGGGGATCTCGAAAGAAGTTCCGTGCAAAGTCCCCGAGTCATCGGAGACCGAAGACGTCTCCTGTCGTGATGAACAATCGACAAGTGTGCCCGAAGGTTGTTGTTCCAAGGCCCTTCGAAAAGGAGAGAA